AGCTGCTGAATTTCGAGCAAATCAATATCGATTACAGTTTAATAATGTAATGAATAAATTAAAAGAAAATGAATCTACACATCTATCCGATAGAATATTAACTAAAGTTATGTTCGATATTATGATAAAACGTTTCAACAATATTAGTGAACACCTTGTATCTGTCTACAAATTAAAACTTCGTGCTTTCACCAAACTTCGGACAGACACGAAATCCAATTGAACTATCACCGAAGCAAATCCACATCTCTAAAATTAATGTCTCGGTATAAGACTCATTCAATCTATGAAAAAGAACTTATTTAACACATTCGATATCGTTTTTTTTTGCATATTGTAACTGAATTTTCTGATTTCTTTCTAAATATTATATAAATTGTGTCCGTTTGTAGGTTATTAGAGAGCAATTCTAATAGAGAGAGAGATATAGGTCGATCTTTAATATAATTTGTTTAAAAAAATTGTTCTATTATTATTCAATTTTAGAGAATTTTGCATTGCTTATTTCAGATTTCAAACTTGTTCAGATTGAATTTTTCGTTTCTGAAAAAGCCTCAATCACTGATTCAGGCGAAGATGTATCTATTATTTTAAAGATTTTGAATAATTTTCTAAGACAACATATTTTAATATAGGTTGAACCAGATATTGATTAATTCGATGATATCTTTCACGAATATGATGACGGCATAGATGAAGATGAACATAAAAAAATGGACTTTCATAAGTCTCAGCGAACAACCAATGAACAGGATTTAGTATTTGGTTTAAAAATTTCTTATATTTTCCGATCACCCATACGAATACGTGCCACTTGACAAGATTTTCCTTCAAAAATCGAAATACTATATACTTAGTATGGTGGTAACTTTATCACAACCACACCCATAAGTCGCTTTCGCAAGGCCAAAACCGGTCGTCCCATACCTACCCTTTTTTTTCTAAAACACATTTCGCTTCTTTGCTAAAAAATTTTGAAAATACTTCTGATCCTTCTACAAAATATTGACCGATAGTTTAGCGAAAGTTTTAACTTTGGAAACTTCCATTGAACTCTTTCAAATTTGTAGGTAGAATCGAATTGGAGCATTTAAAATTTAATAGCCGAACTTACCTGATGCAGACCCTTAAGCAAGGTCGAAACCGGTCGTAAGCATAGCTTGTGCTATTAAATGAAGTTCAATTGTATACACACCCGTATATTCTTGAATTTCTTAAGTTCTTGAATATATTAAAATAGCTGCGAACTCTTTTATTTCAAAAAATTTTTTGATTATTCTTTGAATTAGTCGAAAATTTTCGAAATAATTGTGATTCTCCTGCAATATATTGATGGTAGTTTAGTGAAAGTTTAGATCTTTGCTAGACCTCCATTGAACTATTTCAAATTTGTAGGTAGAATCGAATTGCAGCACTTTAAAATTTAATAGCCGAACTTACCTGATGAAGACCCTTAAGCAAGGTCGAAACCTGTCGTAAGCATAGCTTGTGCTATTAAATGAAGTTCAATTGTATACACACCCACCCTTAAACGTGGGAAGAATTCGTTCTTTTCAATTTAACTTTGTAAATTTACGCAGTGCTTGAATACTACCTGATGATTCCGACCCTTGAGAAAGGTCGAAACTATAGTCGTAGTTATTCTTTATATTCTATAATACCAGTGGACTATGGTAAGACAATGTTTATTCATTTTACTTATTGTTCAAGTATGAAAACATTTCCAAAAAAATTCCATGCCCTCTGGGATAAATATTTTTGTGAATCTCCGATTAATGAGGTCTTACCCGTTCTTGGTACACGTAATGTTAAAAATTTACAAAGACAATTAACCTATACAAGATAAATTGAACGTTTAACTTTTGATATGTAGCATTTTGTTTTGTTATACATGGCTTACATCTATTTATCAAATTTGATATTGGATGTGGTATACGTATTCAATGTTTAAAATTATCCGTTAATTAAACGTCGAGTTATTCATTATACTAATAACAGTTTTATATTATATTCTTATATTAATATAACTTGTTAGGTGTTATACCTATCGTATGGAAGATGACCGAAATGAATTTCTACCTTCAATGTGTAGACTTTAACTTTGACTTCCTGGTTAATATCTTTAAAGATAAAGAAGTGATATTATGTCTCACATCTTTAAAGACAAATAAGCGAATATTCTTTCAACCTATGGTACATTCGAGATAATCAATATTATTTTTTATATACATGTTATTATAAAAAATTATTACTGAATATTCTATATTGGAAACTACCCGTTAACTAAACGTCGAGTTATTCAATATATTAAAAAATTATTACTAAATATTCTATTTTGGAAATCGCCCGTAACTAAACGTCGAGTTATTCAATATACTGGGAATTACCCGTCAACTAAACGTCGAGTTATATATTTCATCAAACAGAATTTATTGAAAGAATTGAATCACTGATAATTTATATCCTAATGTGGTTCAGTCAACATTCGATGTTTAAAATTATTTGATAACTAAATAACAATTGCAAATGGAAGATAATGGAAGATAATGATACTATTGAAACTAGACAATAGTTTACCATCACATACACGTGCTAATATATCGACAACAACAATTATAATTAGTTGTTAGTTATATGCGCTACTAAACGTCGAGTGATTAAAGCCGACGTTTAGTTTGAATTGAATGATATCTTCAAAGATAAATATGGACACGTATGGTTGAACGATGTTATCCTTATTTACCATTAGTTTCAGTAATTTTATTCCATCAACATTTAAACTAAAAGAAAAACGACAAGAATTAGCCAATAAACTTTTAGCAATATTTAATCAAGATGTTTTTCTTCCCAACTACCAGATAAAATCAGTGTAATATGGAGTGGTCTTTTAACAGCTACGGCTGGTCATTGTACAACTCGACGAACAACACGTACTGCTGTAATTACACTTTCATATATTTTACGTTTAATTTTTTTATGTTTAATTTTCATTTTATTCTAATTTTGTTGTGCCTCTTAATTTTTAATTGTTATCTTTAAAATTAGTTTTTGCTTTTAATGTAATGCAGAGCCCTGATGAGTGTTTTATTATTTCAATAAAATAAACATGAAACGCGTCGGCGAAAATAATCTGCATTTCTTTTAAATTAATTTTTATTCAAGCATATTTATATTCATTCAATTCAAATTTAACTTGTCGACAGAAAATCGATTGCTGAAAAGCAAGAGTTGAGACTAGCAGATTGATTTGTATTTATAGAAATATAAGTCGATCTGTTTTCCAATTGATTTACGTACACCCACACCCACACCCCACACCCCAAGATTCAACTTAGTTTCGAATTTTTCGAAATTCGTTACGAGCGCCATTTGACAATCCTAGTTGCTTAGGTGAAATATCGATATCATGGTAGCTTTACACACCCTCCCACACCCACACCCACCCACACGCCACCCATAGTGTGGTCCATACTAACTTGCCCCCCCCCCCCCAGTTTTTTTTCTGGGACAATTTTATGTCAGAAGATGTATCTCACTGAGATCTATGTTTGGTAAAAAAATCATTCCAGCATCTCATACACAGCGCAGGAAAAGCTCAAAATACTGTCATTTCGACAATACGTCATATCTCGAGTTTTTGACAGTTTTTGGCCTACAGAGAATTTTTTATCGAATATATTAGTTACTAAAATAGGATAGAATTGTAGCCCAAACAGTTTTCTATCAAATGAGACGTTCCCGAGCTCGAACGATCAAGCCGTTCATGAGATAACGTCAAACTACTGAGTGCATCCTCAAGATAGCCATTTTTAGGGGTCAAAATAGACCCCTCAAACTTGTTTTTGCTGCCATTTTTCATAGGAACATCCAAATGATTTAATATTTTGGATTTAATAATGGTTTGACTAGACCTATCATTTAAGAAAATAAAATCGAAAAAAAAGTTTTTTTTCCCGGCGGCCTACGCATAAGGTAGAGTGGTTCTCTCGCGGACCCACTCTTAAATATATTTCTTTTCTATCAATGACAACATTATTATTAATTTTTATTCAAAACAAAATCTCTTTTGTTCTCAATCAGAAAACATATTGTGTGCATGTTAACAAAATGTATATTTCATGTCAAATCAAGAAAAAAATAATCAAATATGCAACTATAAACAATTTTTTTGTGCTTTTTTTTTGTCTTAGTATTATTTTTTTTTTCTTACTATAATCAATATGAAAAATGTTCGAGAACAATTATTACATCGATCATTGGATAATCATGTTTTAGCATTTCGACATAATAGACAAGAAGATGAAATGCTTAAAGAAAAATTTTCAATTTATCAACGAAATGTTCGTCGTATTGATTATAAATTATATTTGACTGAACGTCGTTGTGAACAACATGCAAAAAATGATCTTGATTTAGTTGTATTATATAAATATAAACCAATAGAAGAAACCACTAATCATCAATTTTATTATACATTAGAAAAAAGATATTGGACAATAAAAGAATATTCAGTTGAACCATTATATAGTGTACTTCAACATAAAAGATCATATGAATTTGTATTTGAACGTCATGCTCAACAATATATTGAAGAATTAAAACAACGAAAACGTTTAGAAAATTTACGAAAAGAACATTTTATGAATACAACTGAATCATTTACTCGTGATGATTATGAAAAAAGTAATGATTGGCCTCGAACAGAGAATGCTCGACTTAAATTACCATTAATTCATCATTCAAAATTAAATCATTCACCTAAAATACGTTTTCCTATTGAAATGTAAAAACCAATTTATTAAAGATTGATTTGTTTTTTTTTTATTTTTGATAACGTATCACGTATAAAGAGAAAGAAAACCGACAGAAAGAATTTAACAGAATATCTTGCTTGACAATACACAAAGAAAAACAAGATATTTATTAAAGAATATTAATTTATGAAAATAAATTTCATTCTTGATCATGTTCAAGATTACTTATATCGTTAATTGTTATTTCAATAATAGGATGTTGAAAATATTCTTCAATTGCTTTCATTGTATTAAAATCTCTTTCAGAACCAATTAAATTAAATGTATATCCTAAAAATAAAAAAGAAAATACCAAACTCAATATTTAACAAATATTAAAAGAAATATTTAACATACCTAATTTACCAAAACGACCACAACAACCAATTCGATGAAGATATGTTTCATAATCTGGCTTAAAATCAACTGTAACTGGCATATCATAATTAATAACTAATGAAACATCATCAATATCCATACCTGAAAAGAATTTATTCATCTTATTCTAATATTTTTATCATAAGAATAATCAATATGTAGAGAAAGAATAAAAGTGTACCATAGAGCCCATCGAATCCAAAATTTTCAAACCCGACAGGCTCTATCTCCGAAATCTTGACGATCTCGGGACACATCTCAGAAAGAAAGCGAATAATAGAGATAATATTTATCATTATGAAAATGAAACTATAAAAAATGCTTAGAAAAACAAAAACCTATTGATCAGATTTGAATCAAATAAAATTCTATTAATATTTATTTAATTCAACTTACCACGAGCAACATTTGTCGATATAAGTACATTAAATACACGGGCACGAAATTGACGAATAACTGATGTACGGTAGTCAATATCTAAAGCTGCTGTTAATTCTCGTACTGAATGTTGTTGACCTGCCATACGAACAGCTAAATCACGTGCTGTTGCTTTTGTTCGACAAAAAATCATTGCTTGTCCAAGTATTAAATGAGCATAAATTTGTTCAATAGCATGATATTTTTGTTCAAGATCATAACAACGTATAAAAAATTGTCTTATATTATTTAATGTTTGTTTTTCACGTTTTAATCTTAAAACAGTTGGATCTTGAACAATTTCACGTGCAAATACCATAACTTCATCAGAATATGTAGCTGAAAATAACATCATTTGACAGACAGAAGGATTAGCACTTTGTACAAGATCAACACATGTTTTTTGAAAACCTTCAGTTGCTATCATAACATCAGCTTCATCAACACAACATACACGTAATTTACTTAAATCTATAACACGTCGTCGACGACACCAATCTGCAACTGTACCTGGTGTACCAATAACAATTGGTTCTGTTAAAAGTTGACCACGAACAAAATTAGTTTTTGTATTACGTACAGCATAAGCAATTTTAATATATGGTATATATTGTGCCATTTCTTCAATAACTAAACCAATTTGTATAGCTAATTCATGTGTTGGTGCAAGAATAAGTGCTTGTACTGATGGAATCGATGGATCAATACGTGATAGAATTGCTAATGAAAAAGCAGCTGTTTTGCCTATACCAGATTGTGATTGTGCTATTATATTTTCTAGGAAAACAAAAATTACTTAGATAATACAATTAAACATGATAAATTTACTGTACTTGGTGGATTGTTTAATAAAAGTGGTAGAGAAATTTCTTGAATTTTACTTGGAGCTTGAAAACCCATACTGTAAATACCTATGAAAGAAAAAACGAAAGTATACAGATTGTATAAATGAAAGGAATTTCTATTGCGTCCTCAATTAAAGTAACATAGATGTTAGTCCATATACAATAGTTACGAAATAGTAGTTAACAAATGTCAACTTCTCATATTTACATAAAGAATTAAACTAAATATACCAAATTTCCAATGTCATTCGGATATCTATTTATACAAAACAAAAGATAGTTGTTTTTTTCATGTTTTTGATAGAGTACATAAATAAAAAACAAAGAAATTTTGCAACTATACGATAAAGAAATTTTTGTGTCATCATGATCAACTTATCAAAATCTATAAACAAAGACATATTAATATTCGTTTAAAACAAGTTACATATATGTCGAATATTATAATGATGAAGAAAAACTTTTTTTTCTTAAACGAATCTTTTATTTTCTATAGAATGAATATACACAATAATATATATATATATTTTTGTGAAGAATGAAATGATAAATTTTATTTATTTTATGTTAAATTATTTTTAAGAAATTACCTTTCAATAAATCAGGTTTCAAATTGAGTTCTTGAAATGATTTTAATGAATATAATGGTGATGTTGGATCATTACGATCAACAATCAATGCACCTGGATCTCGTAGTTTTGTATTGATTTTTTTTTCTAATAATGATATATCAGCTGGTGAAGCTGGAACATCTGATGCTTCTTGTTCTTGATTTGGAAAACTTGATTGTTGAGAAATAGGTGTTGAAGGATCAGATGATTTTCTTGAATATGCAGATATATTATTTTGTGTAGTTCCTGCTGGTTCATTTATTAATGATATTTGATTTGAATTATGAGTCGATGTTACTGATGCTAAAGTTTGTGATTTATCATTTGATATTTCTTGTTGTTGTTTAGATGATGTAAATGTAAATGATGGTATGGGTTGTCGAACTTGTGAACTAGTTGTTGATTGATTAGATGTAAAAGCTGGAGGATTTTCTAATGATAAATTTGTAAAACTAAACGATTACATGTCTTCGGAGAGTATCCCCGGAAACTCGATTATGTCCTATGGTAAGAGGTATATAGATATAGAGGTATAGGGGGTATAGGAGGTATAGGGGGGTATCGGAGGTATAGGAGATGTTAGCTCTCATATGTATAGAACGAAAGAGACAAGCGGTGTCACTGATGTTATGTGACAGAACGATGAAAAAGATGACCTTCATGGGAATCGAACCCATACCTTCTGCTATCCGGGCAGATGTCCTAAGCCAATTAGACTAGAAGGCACATCTAAATCATCGTTTAGCGTTCGTGTGATCCATCACGAACGCTAACAGGAGATATAGGAGGTATAGGGAACACAGTAAACATTTATTGTGTACTCAAAAAGTGAGTACACTCTAGAATCGGTCAGTATGTCCGGCCGTTAACACGATAACTTTTGAAGGGAGAGTCCGATCGCGATGAAATTTTCTACACAGTTTAGTCTTAACAATATCTCGGTCGAGTTCGAAGATGAAAATGATTGGCCGAACCATTGCTGAGTTATTGCAAAAATAGTCATTTTTCCCTATGAGAAGATAGACCCTTCTCTGCTTTCATAAACAACTTTTCCTATCATAGTCATATAAAACCCCAACTATTATATACCATTCGATAGAGAATTTCACGAGCTACAAAACGCTATATAAAATATAAAGAAACAAGAAAGCTAACTCGCCTATTGCAAAGTTAATTAATCGGAATTCGGTTCTGTTTTTGTCCACGCTCTATGTGATCCATAATTAGAGCTCTATCTTCCCATCACAGAGATGATAGTTCGAGGTTTTCTAGAATGAGGAACTCGAATCTATGTTCTATTCGCCTCGAAATCCCATTGGTTGAGCAGTGACCAATAGAAATCAAGTTATAGGAAAAACGAGTTTCTTAGGGTAAATCAAGGTGAAGAGTTCAAATCTGAGGTGTATTTGGCTCCAAATCGTATTGGCTGAGCAATAGCCAATAGAAATTAAGTGTTTACAGAAAGGGTTTGCCAGGACAATTTTGATGTCCACACATTCTAGGGTGACTCATCTGTCTCATTCACTTTTTGAAGTACACATAACTCTCGGATTTAAATCCGAGGTTTCCACATTTATTTTTTTTTATAATTGATTTTTTCGAGCAAGGGTCGGTAAGTTGAATGAGATATAGAAGGTATAGGAGACACAGTAAACAGTTATTTATATTTTATGATTGATGTTCTCGAGCAAGGAGCGATAAGTCGAATGAGATATAGAAGGTATAGGAGACACGGTAAACAGTTATTTGTTTATTTTATTGGTTTTTTCGAGCAAGGATCGATAAGCCGAATGAGATATAGAGGGTATAGGAGACACAGTAAACAGTTATTTATATTTTATGATTGATTTTTTCGAGCAAGGATCGATAACTTGAATGAATATATCTGCCTGAATCACTATACAAAGTCAAGCACTGTATAAAGATTATCTGCACTACTTAATTAATATCTGCTATATCTGCTATACCTCTATATCTCCTATATCTCCTATACCTCTATACCTCCTATATCTCCTATATCTCCTATACCTCCTATACCTCCTATACCTCCTATACCCCCCCTATACCTCCTATACCCCCTATACCTCCTATACCTCCTATACCTCTATATCTATATATCTATATACCTCTTACCATAGGATATAATCGAGTTTCCGGGGATACTCTCCGAAGACATCATATGAACTAAACATTGGAATGTTTTCCGATGTTGTATTTGGAAAAGAAAAACCAGGAGCATTTTTTGGTGTTGTATTTGGAGAAGCATGACTATCTTGAGGATGTGGGTGTTCCTTTTATCCAAACCCACACCCACACTTTTCAGAACGGGTTTTATTATTTGAAAAACACATTCTTGACCGTTCTTTTTTATAATTTTTTGATGGATGGACGCAGTTGAGAAAAACTTAGCATGCGGGTGTGGGTGTGGGTGTGGGTGTGGGTGTGGGTGTGTGTGGGTGTGGGTGTGGGTGTGGGTGTGGGTGTGGGTGTGGGTGTGGGTGTGGGTGTGGGTGTGGGTGTGGGTGTGGGTGGGTGTAGGTGTGGGTGTGGGTGTGGGTGTGTGTGGGTGTGGGTGTGGGTGTGTGGGTGTGTGGGTGTGGGTGTGTGGGTGTGGGCGTGGATGTGGATGTGGGTGGGGTATGGGTGTGGGGTGTGGGTGAATCTAAGACTCACACCCACACCCACACCTAGGGATGTGCAGTTTCGGTGAAAACAGTGAATTATTGACAGTGTGCCACTGACACCGGTGTTCACTGAATCAGTGCATACACTGACACTGATTGCACTGGTTCCACTGTCTACACCGACATTGGTGTTCACTGAGCCAGTGCATACTCTGACACTGACTGCACCGATGTCAGGATTTACTGGAGCAGTGATGCTCACTGAAGTATCAAGTCACCGACTCTATCAAAGTATGCACTGCTCGTGACTTTATTTATAATTATCAACGAAATTAGCGAAATGACTATACCTATTCCTCTAAAAAAAAGGATTCATTTAAGTAATCTATAATTTTGAGTAATAAAGTCAATTTCAACGAAATACGCCACTTATAATCCTAATATTGACACATAACTGCGGTATTTTATGACTCAACCAGATTCATTTAAAGAAGATGAGCGTTTCTTAAAATTTATGGGGACTTTGTAAAACTATTTGTATCGTTTCGATTACATAAATGTTTCGCTTTATTTAATCTTTCTTATGCAATGGTGAAAAAAGTATATGTACGTAAAAGTGTATGTAGCTTATCTCAACCAAGAAACCAAACTATTGAGCGGATATGCTTCCCTTCAATGAAAATATTTTGTTCATCCGCATATTACAGGCGAAAGATGTCATCGTCTTCTGTGTATAAATTCTAGTCAATGGAAATCAGTATCAGTACGTCAGTGTTCCAGTGTGCGTCAGTGCAACAAGCGCAGTCGGTGTCAGTGTATGCACCGGCTCAGTGAACACCAATGTCGGTGCAGACAGTGGAACCAGTGCAGTCAGTATCAGTATATGCACTGGTTCAGTGAACACCATGTCGGTGTATCCACTGGTTCAGTGAACACCATGTCGGTGTATCCACTGATTCAGTGAACACCATGTCGGTGCAGACACTGCAACCGAAGCAGGCAGTGCCAGTGTCATCAGTGTACCGGTGAATGCCAGTGTGACTTTATCGGTGATCAGTATACTGAAACTGCACATCCCTAAGTACAATTCGTGGCGCAGAAAAATGGTGTCTATGGAAAACAATGATGCCAAAATTTACTTCTCTAGTTTAAACTGCAAATGAAAAGCATACGTAGGGATGCAATAAATCCTTGTTTATCGGCATAAAGATTATAAATTTTCTGTATGAAGACCTACCAAATCCAACCAAATCTTTGTGTCAGTTACAACCAGTTTCATTCGCTCTACTCGATACTGGTGCAAAATTACCAAATCTAGAAAAGAAAGTTCTAAGATTTGGTAGGATTTGGTGAAAATATGACAGTTTTTACCAAATCCTACCAAATCTTAGAACTTTCTCTTCTAGATTTGGTAATTTTGCACCAGTATCGAGTAGAGCGAATAAAACTGGTTATAAATGACACGAAGATTTGGTTGGATTTGGCGGGTTTTCCTATCGAAAATTTACGATCTTTATGTAGAAAAATAGGATTTGTTGCACCCCTACAGCATATGTGAACTGTTTACCCTAAATAATTTTAGATGAGAATAGCCTAATTTTGATTTCCTATAGATTTTATTGAAATATTCACTACCTACCTGAGACTTTGTCACACAAACATATTTTCTCTTCTGTGAATAATGAACAAGTATAATGTGGTATCTGTTCCCATTTGGATTCCTCTTTCACTGCTCCAGCAACAGCACGCAATATCGACGTGATATCTTTATCAGGAATTACAATGTGTTTCAGAAGATGCTTGGTAAATAAGCCATTTCCTTGCCCTTGATTGTCATCTGCTTCGGTTCCCGGTGCACATGCAAAGGCAATCAGCAATCCTGCGTTAACAATTGGTTTATGATCGTTGAGTTTAGGAATATCTTGGAAAGGATTGCGTGCAACCATTTTCGTTAGGTTCGGATTACGAAAATAATAAACTCGACAACAATCTAATAGACATATTATTACAAATGGAAGCCGATCGCTGATATCTTCCAGGAATCTTTGTACGTGAATCATATATCGCTTCAAATTTGCATAATTTATATCAACATTATCATTCATTTGAGTTGCTAATGTATCCAGAGAAAACACACTTCTTTGAATATTGACATCTTCACTGTTGTCATGTTCTCTTGGTATCAGGAAGTTTTCAGTCTAGAAGTATCATAGAATAAAAGCTTTCAGAAATAGCCTAATGACAAATATTAAGAACCGCGACTTGTCGTCTAGAGTAAAAACATGTCCTCTAAGAGGACGCACAAAGAGTTTTTCGCTCCTTTGACGAAAGAGCAGTAGAAAATAAATAACGATAAATTGAACAGAGAGCTGCTATGAAGTTATTTTTATTCTTATTTCAGACAGAAATCATTGGTACAAGCTCTCGTCTCTCTGGGAGGAGACCTCGTCAAGGATCAGCTACACCAAAGTCAACTGTTGGCTTTTGTAGGATATGGTTGTGGATGTGTTTGATCGTGAGTCGGTGGCTGTCGATCAGATAGTACAGACATCAAGTAACTAAACTTCATCAACATTCGTTAACCTGCACACAAATCAGAGATGTCGGTCCAAGCACTTATACCGCCCCATGGAGAGATTGCCCCATATTTGAAGCTTGAAAAAAGAAAATTCTCCATCAGTAGAGCGAGTGAGTTATGGGAAAACAGTTTTATCTAACCATGACTCTCCATAGGAGACGATGGTCTAATCGACCTCTTGTTTTTCAAAAGCCACGCTGCAATATGTAGTTGAGTCGGCTAGATTCGTGCCACACTTGCTCCTTACGTGCCTGCTTTAAATTTGCAGTATTATAACTAATACTAGACAGTGTGGGTGTGGGTGGCAGTAAGGGCAGGGGTGAGCGAAGGAGAGACCCACACCTACACTCTAAAAAGAAAGGTTTTCTTGGAAAACAACCAAAATATGTTTCGAGCGTTCGAAAATCGAAATAAGTTTTTGGACTGATCTCCAAAACCTCTAAGAGATTTTTCCTAGGAATACATGTGGTTTTGGACTTCAGAAACCCTCAAAGCGTTTCGGATAATGACAAAATCGTAAACGCTGAAGGGTTTGCGGACTTTCGGAAAAGGATCACTTTTTTCGGAAAGTATTCAGAGTTTCTGATTGTGTCACTATCTGAAATGCTTTAATGATTTCTGAAGTTCAGAAACCATTTTTTCTTTCCGAAAACCGTTTAAAGGTTTCCGAGCTCAGCTTGAAAACCTTTTCCAGTTTGCAGAATAAGTTCGGAAACCTGTTTTGATTGGTTTCCAAGAAAACCTCTTTTTTAGAGTGTATTCTCACACCCACGTCCTCAAAGTAGATTTTTGAGTGAGCCAAGGGAGGAGAAGAAAGTGGTGGCTTAAATTTTAAGGGCTTTCAATCACCATGAGACTTGACTATGGTTAAAATTTCAGGCCGAAATTCCTTACTTTGATATTTTCTAATACGCTTACGAGGGAAAGTCCCTAAGTATGACGCTCCGTTTCGAATCTGGCATTGGCCATTTTGTAGAACTCAGTGAGTACAGCACGTAATATAAAGCGTTCGTCCCCATAATGGACTTTTAATGAACTACGAGGTACCACAAAGGATGCCCTATAATGACTGGGAATAAATTGTTCATGATATTTTTCATACTTTTTCTCAACGCAGAGAGCTGAAATTTTTAT